CCCATCTGCCGCAAATTTGGTAATTCCCGCGTTGTGGGCTCCGTTTATAGGTTCTTAGATCCATGGCTTCCACATGCGAACGAAATCGATTCAATTTCATTTATATCAGAAACGTTGCAAAATGAAGATGCAGTCGTTACATTTACGTATATTACCAGATATATCTATAATGGTTCGTATTCTTTCTCAGGATTTATTAATTTCCAATACACCATACCACAATCAACTGGTTATTGGCAGCAACGCTTAGTGAGGTATTTTTAATTTTGCGCCGCCTCCGAAAAGGTTGAAATATATTTAATATACTACCTAACGAGTAAATAGGTTTCATTCATATCTGTTACGTAATTGTATGATTGAATGAAATAGAAATTACTTCATTAGCAAATAGAAATTATTTTATACTTTTTAGTGCATTTCGAAGTCGGCGTATTTTTTTTCTTAAAATTATTTTATATAAGATACGAAAAATCTATATTATTTATGTTGTCGTCCAGAAGTTATAATCAAAACAAGTGTGACAAAATGATAAGACATGTAGAAGAATAATAATGTGTGTATATTTCCTGTACATTTTCCTTTTTTCTATGACTTCTAATAATCTTTTTGGTAGGATTTTGTATCACTTTTTTATAAACTTTTTAGAAATTGAATTTCAATGTATAGTGATTTTTAATTCTTGCAGGGAATTACATTGGCATGGTGCCATGGTATACATGTATATAACGGATCAATTCACCCCATATACTCTCAATAATATTTAAAACAGATGATCTTGCTGGTCAACATAAAAGCTGAATATTATTTGTATCAAAATATGTTACGACAGTTTCAACAGGATGTACAGCTGCATTGTTGTTTTGAAATATGTATTCATCGCCATTTATGCGTTCTGCACGTGTCATGATTTCTTAATTTATTAGAACGACGTAATCTCTACTTTTCATTTTTCCATCTATAATGTATGGATGTCTTCCCTTTGTACTCAATTGTACCCCAAGTAAGTTTATCTCCTTTCATTCGTCGTCTCGTTTGATATTGTTGATCTTTCCTGAGGTAATAAAATAATACGACTAGCAATCAGGTCTGTCAATCTTTTCTCATTTGAGAATATAACTCTTTTCAACCTTTTCTTCTGTCTTAAGTGTTTTAGAGCAAATTGCATTTTATCTTTAAATTTTTGTAAAAGACGTTGTAAATTCTGCACATTTATAGATATGTCTGCTTCCTGTGCATATTAATGTGTTGTCAACGATGTGCTGCCATTTTTTTAAATTGACCTCTCGCTTTCTTTTTGCCATAAACTTCAGGATTTTTTAACAAATTATGAATAACATTTCGATTTCTATTTACTAATTTTGAAATTTTCGAAATACTTGAGCCTTTTTTAAATTTAAAATCATTTTTATCTGTTTCGTTCAATTTTTTTTCATGTCCCATTTTTGTGATTATCAACACAAGTTTTGTTACTAACTGCTGTAATGAATTATTTAATACAATTATGACTAATGCACAGTAATTACTCACAACGTTGTTCGAAATGAATCGATCAACTTTTCGTCAAATACTGACTTAAACATAAAATGTGTCCTAACATTTTATCGCGCTTGTTTTGAAACAACCAAATATAATTCTTGGAAGACATCGTAAACAGGAGATTCTTCGTTTGTTACAAAGACAGGGAGTACTATTATAGATGTATGTACTAAATGTGTGCAAACATCATTGAATTTGAGTAACACGAAAAGTCCAATTTGTTCTTCTTTACGCTCCAAGCGACGTCGTGCCAGTGGCATCCGCTATGAGCGGCGTGGCGTCAAACAAAGGGCGGTGCTCATTAGTAGTAAACTTCAATAATACGTATTCCTTACAGTTATAAATTTTTAAAGATATAGAAAACAAATCAAATAATTCTTACCGAATCAACTAAAATGGATGCTGAAGGTGTATCCACGTGGCTATTGAATTTGCGGAATTGCAATAATAAATTATATCGTTTTCCTGCTTCCAAGCAAACGGAAGGTTGCGCAACGATGCTCCTAGATCGTAGAGGTAACTGCGCCCATAACTGATCGTACTCCGGTCTCCAGTCAGCACAGGGACCATTTGGATCTACTGACCCGTCTCTTTCAATGATTATTTGCACATTGTCCCAGACTCCTTGTTGAATAGGTTCATAACGCACAATTATATCGTACCACAATGTTTTACGAATATCGTCGATCGTGAAATTCAACACTGAACCCTCCAATGCCTTCATAAATCCAGTTCCGGTCCAAGTACTGTTTCTTCCGTCGCGATAAGGTTCTCTAATCACCACTTGACAATTCTATTCAAATAAGAAAAGAAATTTTGTTTTTACTTAATGATATAAATTACTTTATTCAAATGATTATTTTATTCTGAATTCAGATTTTAACAAACGAAGAATATAATAATGTGTTTACTGGAAACCATAGAAAAAAGTATCGGGCAACAAATTGTAATAAAAAAAGATTAGCAAAGATCTGTCCATTTAACAAAAATTCAAAATTACTTTAACCGTTTTCTGTGAAATTACACTAATTTATTTAGATATTATTGAAATTTGTATTTGGACAATACAATTATCTTCAATACAAACCCATCTGAAATGTAATAAATGTCTTTGTTACCAGATACGAAAATCTTTAACTAAATTTTCCAATAACAGTCATTTCCATTCTTCGGTGAAAAAATTTATAACGATTTCCTTTTTTCTTTTGCTGGATAGAAAAGTTAACTGTAAATTCTAACTAGATTTCTGAATTTGATCTTATTTAAAGTTCACAGTATTGGTCATTGAATTTGCCTTGACATCAGATCACATGCTATTAAATTGAAAATACACTGTCATTTAAACAAAAATTAAGATAACTTTGACTTTTTTATGGATAAAACCAATTTAGCAATTTAGAGTATTGACAATTTTTCGTATTCGTAACTGAATTTCAAATTTTATTAACTTTTGTTAGACTATCGGAAATACTTGAAAAATCAGTTAAACTACAATATGTATTTCCCTACGGCATGAATGGCTGGAGATGGAACTGAAAATCACGAAGAATCCATGTCACATGTGCATTTTTCGCAAATTGTCCGCTTTCGTTCTTTTGGGGCACATTGTATAAGGACCTTAATAAATAGTCAGCGCGTGCGTGTGTGTGAACAATGTGTAGGAATAAATGGAATTCTCCATATTTTATCTAACAGCAAAATATCAAAGCTATACTATATATATATACCTACATTAAAATGTAATAAAATACACTAACAAATTAATGATAGCAAAATTCAGTATAAAATTTTTCTACAAAATATAGAAATATATATATATATATATATATTAACTCTTAAGTAACTAATTATGAATGAAAATGATTCGATATTTAAATGTATTATTACCTGCCCGAAGATTGGAATTAAGTAAATGTTTTTAATGTAATTATACTTTATATAAATTTTTTCTAGATCGTTTATAAAATAATTTTGCGTCAAAAACAACCAAATAACCGTAACTGTTCAAACATAAATCATCTTTGAAGTTTTACATTTTGTTCTCAAAATATAATTTTCAAGAAAACAGGATCTATTAATAAAAATGAGTTACAGATCAGTATTCAACGCGTCAAAATCTACAGAAGAAATTCAATAGACTGAAACTGAAATTCAATATATCAGTAGTTGAAATTCGCGTTAAACAATATTATTTCCAGTTAAACTTTACTTAGGGCATCAAAAGTTATAGAACATCTTTATATTTGATGATCCAAAATAAAACTTAATTTCGTTTTTAGTGATAAAATGAAAAGATAATTACATCAGAAGCTCCGGCTAATTCTCCTTCATAAATTAAGAAGTCCAGTGATCCAGTGTAATAACTCTGTTCAGGTTGATTACAGGTTCTGCCACTAATATGAGGTCTGCAACGGCACTGGCCAGTTCTAACATCGCAGGAATTCTCGTATGAACCACCAGGATCACAGTCGCAAGGTTTGCAACCATCCGGATCTTCCGAAAGGCCCCAATATTCCGGAAGACATTGGTTACAATCACGAGCAGTGACGTAGCGTTTGCAAGTACATTCACCGGTAACCATGTTACAGCCTCGATTGTCGATGGTACCCAAAGTATTACATGTGCAAGCTAAACAGAAGTACAAACCCATATGTAAATACTAGTTAGATTACTAGTCATTGTTTGGTTAAGAAATCAATTATTATGCAACAATTTAGTTATAACATGGCTTAAAAAATAATTTTTTTTTCTATATAAATACAAGTATGTATAAAAATTAGTCGATCAGGAGTACTTTCACGGATTTTTATAGCCTTGAAATAACTGTACTGACTTATTTAAACTCTGGAATTTAGTCTATAAGATGAATGCAAGGAGCTTGAGTTCAATTTATATATTATAAAATGATTCGATATTTAAATGTATTATTACCTGCCCGAAGATTGGAATTAAGTAAATGTTTTTAATGTAATTATACTTTATATAAATTTTTTCTAGATCGTTTATAAAATAATTTTGCGTCAAAAACAACCAAATAACCGTAACTGTTCAAACATAAATCATCTTTGAAGTTTTACATTTTGTTCTCAAAATATAATTTTCAAGAAAACAGGATCTATTAATAAAAATGAGTTACAGATCAGTATTCAACGCGTCAAAATCTACAGAAGAAATTCAATAGACTGAAACTGAAATTCAATATATCAGTAGTTGAAATTCGCGTTAAACAATATTATTTCCAGTTAAACTTTACTTAGGGCATCAAAAGTTATAGAACATCTTTATATTTGATGATCCAAAATAAAACTTAATTTCGTTTTTAGTGATAAAATGAAAAGATAATTACATCAGAAGCTCCGGCTAATTCTCCTTCATAAATTAAGAAGTCCAGTGATCCAGTGTAATAACTCTGTTCAGGTTGATTACAGGTTCTGCCACTAATATGAGGTCTGCAACGGCACTGGCCAGTTCTAACATCGCAGGAATTCTCGTATGAACCACCAGGATCACAGTCGCAAGGTTTGCAACCATCCGGATCTTCCGAAAGGCCCCAATATTCCGGAAGACATTGGTTACAATCACGAGCAGTGACGTAGCGTTTGCAAGTACATTCACCGGTAACCATGTTACAGCCTCGATTGTCGATGGTACCCAAAGTATTACATGTGCAAGCTAAACAGAAGTACAAACCCATATGTAAATACTAGTTAGATTACTAGTCATTGTTTGGTTAAGAAATCAATTATTATGCAACAATTTAGTTATAACATGGCTTAAAAAATAATTTTTTTTTCTATATAAATACAAGTATGTATAAAAATTAGTCGATCAGGAGTACTTTCACGGATTTTTATAGCCTTGAAATAACTGTACTGACTTATTTAAACTCTGGAATTTAGTCTATAAGATGAATGCAAGGAGCTTGAGTTCAATTTATATATTATAGTATATTCAATTATATATATATATATATATAAGTTCAATTATATCAGTAAATCAGTAAATTTCTAAGCATTATATCTCGAAAACTAATAAAAATCGGGTAAATACATTAAAACTTAATGAATTCGTAATTCTAACAAAAAAGGTAAAAACGGTTTTTAAAACAAAGACTGCTTTAAAACATATTCAGTTAAATATAAAACAGCTAAATATAGAAAAATGACACAAATTGTAAAACTATATATTTCTTAATAACAGATCCAGCTATAAAAATGTATTTTCAAAACTGTATTTGTTTGAATAACATATTAAAAAATAAAGTTTTATTATTATCGTGTATCTTATGTGCGAAGTAATCCAAGATATGAATGTAATACTTGATTTTTTTTAGATTTTAATGCAAGAAATATCAAAAGCTGGTTTTCTTTCACTTTTTTGTTTGTTACTATTTGGTATCATTTTAATATTACTATCATTAAACTGGAAGTTAGGTTTGTAGACTTATGCAAATACCTTGCAAAAATGTAATGGCTGCACAGATGTATCGGATCAACCAGTGAAAGTGTTGTACGACTTTTTTATTTAAAACCTCAAGAACCATTACTTATTACTTTTTTTTCTTAAATATATGAAATAGTATACTTAATGTAAAAGAGTGTTAAAATAGAAAAGAAACGTACTTCAAATTTTGTTTATTCCTTTTCACTTTGCTATGAAATGTTCTGAAGGCCGAGATAAAACTTATTTTAATTCGAATTATTTACTATTTGTCCAAACGAATTTAGCTATATTCAATTATAAACTACGATAAAAATATTCTGTATGTTGAATTCTCGTTCGTTATACCTCTTTTTAACCGACTTCGAAAAAGGAGGAGGTTACTCAAATCGATCATCATTTCCGTGCTATCGACTCACCTATGACACCTTCTCCGTATACATTGCAAATATCCCGGGCTGCTTCAGCAGCTTTTTTGACCGCGATGGAAAGCGAAGAAGAGCAAGTGTCGAAAGTGCTAATTTTTACCTCCTGGATATTCCATTTCAGAGCCTTAATAGTAATGACAAATGAATCTGCTGAAAAAAACGATTAACACAGTTTTGTAGAGCAGAAAGAGCTCTATCGAATGAATATTATAACTTCGTGCAAATTCAAAAGGTCGCTGCAAAAAAAAAGAAAATGTCAAAACGCCACGAACTTATTTCCCATATACATACTATAAAGATAGAGTCCATCTGCCGCAAATTTGGTAATTCCCGCGTCGTGGGCTCCGTTTATAGGTTCTTAGATCCATGGCTCCCACATGCGAACGAAGTCGATTCAATTTCATTTATATCAG